CCGGGTCCGCCCCGCCCGTCGGCGGGGACGCGGGGCGCCGCGAGGGGCGCGGAGCCGGGACCCTGTCGCTGACCCTAGAGAGCGAGAAGACGGCAGGCGGCGGAGGGACGCGTCCGGTAGGCTGTGGCAGCGGAGGTTGAGCAAGTCGGGGGTTGCCGGAGGAAGTGCCCAAGTTTACATCACGTGCCTAACAAACGACTCGGTGACCTCAGGCCACCAACCTAAGAATGCTTGCTTCTGTGTTGGGTTGACTTTTTTTTCTTTCTTTTTTTCTTTACTTTTTTATTGGGTTTATACCTTCGGGAACTACCGGGAGGATAGGATAAGATTGAGGTGTAAGAGGATCAGGAATATCATTTCTCTGTATGTAAAGAAGTGCTACCTGGTTCTATAACTAGTCATATGATTTGACTTTTACATGGCCGGTGAGATTATAAAGTAGCAACTTTTATTCATGTATATGAAAGGTACTCTCTCTACTCATCACTCAGTAGGCGAGGACTAAAGATTATGTTAAGGTTGAAAGATTTGTGCCCCGAAGGGTCCTAGATCCATCTTGTGATCTGGGCTAGAGAAAGGTGAGCAAGGAAGAGTGGGGCTGTTGATCTCTGCCCGACAGCCGTTTGTTTTGATAAACAAACCCTGAAGCCTGACAGCTGTCCGTGTCCTTGGAAACCCAAGTCCAGCAGTTAGGCTTGTTTGGGTTGGGGAATGAGTCACAGGGAACGCAGTTAAAGGACACCCTGCCAGAGGTTCGTGTTCCCGGGCTGCCTGAGAAACCCGATGAAGTCACCTTGCTGCCAAAAGGGCAGCGGGTGGGAGGGAAGCGAGCTGTGCTCTGGTTACCCAAAAACTGGTGGGAGCGGCGCAGAGCCCACCCTGAAACTTCAATCCTACTGGGTGTGGAAAGCACAGGTGGAAAGGAAGAACCGTACTAGAAAACGAGGAGACGCAGAAACGAAGCTAGGGCTATGCAAAGGAAAGCTGTGGCCTGGGGACTGCAGACCGCGCCCCACACAGAGCACGTGTTGGGAGCCGCGCCACCGCCGCGGACCAAAACAAACCGGCGTGGCTCCGCCCCGCACAGTCACGTGAACGCGGAGCCCCGTTTCCGGGCGAGCCCGCGCGGCGCCGGAGTCCTTCCGGGGACGCATGCAGAGCCTTCATCTCCGCGCACAGTGTTTTCGCGTGGAGGCAACCTCGCGGGAACCATGGCAGCGGGCACCCAGGAGAGCCCTCCCCTGACCGCCGCAGCTGAAGCTTCCTGGGATGAAGGTAGGTGCCAGGCTGAGGTCAGCGCCAGACACAGACTTGTGTATGATGAGTCTTCTGGCCCCATTCCGGATGTCTGGGTCCTTGTATTAGGCTATGGAGAAAGTGGCTAGTTTTTTTGTAAAAGTGACCTTCCTCCAATCGGGATACAGTATGCAGATTTTTGTTGGACACGCAGGCCTCTTTTTCCCGCATGCTGGCAGTGCTGTTGCACTCACGCACAGGGTGTTTTGAAAAAGTGGGTTAAAATTAAACTTATGACACTGGAATCCACCCTTTGATTTAACTGGAAATAAATTGGGATTTTTGTGAGCAGGGCTTATGAGCTTTTATTCCTTTTCTATGGAACCCTGGTTTTGCAAACGAGTGAGGTTTGCAGACCCATGAGCTGGAGATCACTGTTCGCATTTAGGGAGTGACTGCTCCGGGCACCGCACTGTACGGTAAACTGCCACGGGATCTACAGACTTGTGAATGTTTATAGCAGTGCCCTTCATCAAGGAGCTCACAGTGGGTGTAGGAACCTAAAAAGGAAAAAAAGTATGACTAATCTCTGGTCTCTTGAGTACTGTCCATAGTACACACTCACTGAGTGATGGCAGTCGTCAGCAGGAGGAATCCCAGTGAAGAAAAGGGAAATGCTTCAAGGAGGGAGTGCTTTGAGGCGGGCCTTTATGAATAGATGAGATAGTGACAGGCCAAGATAGTGTTGCTGGGGGCTCTGGTAAACAGAGAGCAGAAAGTGCAGGATGGATGCGTTTGGAGACCAAATAGTTTGACAAGAGGAGGAGCTTCCGATTCCCAATAAAGAAATTATAACTTCCTACTCTATCTTCTGCCTTTAAGCTCACTTGCTTATGCACCATGGAGCCTTCTGTTTTCTGCCCACTGCACTCATTATCCAGCTTGGAGTGCCTGGCATGATTTATCGTTATACACTCTGAAAATACACTGTTCTCTTGTCTCTCCATAAATTTTATTCCGGAAAAAAGAACTCTTACTCAGGATAAACCTACCCATTTACCTTCTTTGCACTATCTGGCTAAACTTCGCTGAAAAAAAAAAATCCTGCATGGGAATGGAGGTATAGCTCAATTGTGGAGCAGTTCCCTAGCATTAGAAGGCGCTAGGTTCAATCCCATAGCAATGAAAAAAATCCATCACAAATTGCTGACAGTATAAAATGCAAATGTCCCTCCTCTTGAATATTCAGGATGGGCCTGAGATTCTGATTCTTGTGATTGTATTTCTCTTGTGAGCTTACATTCTAACTTTCTCCACTGATAATTCCTCCAAATTTTATCTCTCTTCATCTATTTCATGCTGATGACTCTGAAGGTCAATTCTGCCTTTGATTGATCTCCCTTTGTCCTCTGGCACTATCAGTCCCTAATCCAAACCATCCACATTTCTTTACCTAAACTATTTCTTGACCGGTGTCCCTATTTCTCATCTTTCCTATATCATAATGCTTTTTGAGGTTTATCTAAAATTTAGTTACCTTTTTGTGGCTAAATATTATTGTATGGATCTATGATGTTTTGTTTAGCTACTCATCAGCTGACAGACATTGGGGGTGTTTCCATTTTATTGTATGTAATTAATGTTGCCATGGAAATTCATGCACAAGGTTTTTGTGAACATGTTTTAAGTTCTTTTGGTCATGTATCTAAAAGGGGAATTATTAGGTCATACCATAACTTCATGTTCAACTTTTTGAGGAAATCGTCAATTTTTAATCTGAAGTCTTAAAGGGTAGGAAAATCTGATGAAAATGCTGTGTTTATACACATTTTGACAAGTAACTTCCGATTTCACATTAAAGGATATCTGAATTCTTTCTGTGGAACTTTTGATCCTATCTTAAACTGTCAGCCTGTCTAGAAATACCACTTAGGAGTGGTATTAGGAGTGGCTTTGCTTACTATCATTACAAGGTAAGTTAAGTAGGCAGAATACTTCTGTTGGAGAAGACTTTGCCTTAAATTAGATAAGGCTGATATGGACAAGAGGTTAAAAAAAAAAAAACAACAAACAAACTTAAAAACAGGTGAAAGAGCTACGTGCAGAATTACATATTGGTTGAAGCATTTCTGTGAAATTAAAAGTTACAGTCTTTTAAGTCTGATTCTGCCTTTTAGACATTATGATATTTTCTTTATTTGGGCTTTTCTGATTTCAGTTATGGTCAGGCCTATGCCTTGCAGAAGAGAAGAGCATATTTTCAGTATTCTTTTTCCAGTCCTTCCAAAGAAGTACCCCATCCTAGTGTTGTAGAAACTGGGATATCTTAATAAAGCTGATACTCCCATGTAACTAGATTTACTTTTCTTCAGTTAGAAGCACCATACTCTATGTCATCTTTGTCCTTATTTTTAAAAGAGAAAAAGACAGAGGAGGTTAGAGAAAGAAAAAAGACTGTGTATTCTAAAAAAGTACCTTAGGAGACTTACTATGCTAGAATACATGTGCAATTCATAATGTAGCTAAAATACTATGTATTTGACAAATATCAGAAAGACCATATGGTTGAATCATTTTTATTGTAGTAAAAACACATAATATAAATTAGTTCATTTGTGTTGCTATAAAAAACACCATTGACTGGGTAATTTATTAAGAACAGAAATTTATTTTCTTATAGTTCTACAGTACACGATCCTTGAGGAGTCCAAGATCAAAGTGCCAGCAGCTTTCCTTGTCTCGTGAGGGCTCTCTTTGCTTTCAAATGGCACCTTGTTGCTATATCCTCTGGAGGGGAGGAACATTGTGTCAGTCCATGGCAAAAGTGGGAAGAGCAAGCTAGTATGAATCCTCTTGTATAAGGGCTTTATTCTAACTCATGAGGGAGGAGCCCTCATGGTCTGACTACTTCTTAAAGATACCACAAAGGAGAGAAAATGACTATGAAAATTGGCAGCATATCACAGCCTCATTCAGACACCTAGAAAACAGCTTAGTGAAGAGAAAAGGAAAAAGAGCTCTGGTACTCAAGAAAGTGCCAGCAGGAATACTGGAAATCATAGGGAAACTGAAGAAACTGAAGACAATGCAGAGAAAAGAGCAAAGCAGGCTGGAACGCTCACCTCAGCTCCTGGGGAATGGACATGTCTTGGGCTACACAAGGTTGGCAGAAACAGAGGACTGGAGGAGAAACTGGACTGGCAGATGTGGTTCCCAAAAAAACCCATGATATTGTAAGCTGCAAATACAGTGTAGAATTTTACTCAGAAGTGACATCTTCCACATGGAAGGCTAGAATTGGAGAAGAAATCCAGTGCCATATTTGGGAGTAATCAGGAGCCATTTTGTGAATGGGTTCATTGTTTAAGACTGAGCTGCTCTAGTAATCAGAAGTCACAGAAGAACTATACTTTCTGGGATCACCCTACCACAATGACTGGGCAGGAAATGTCCATGGGAGGTAGTCTTGGAAACAGAGTGGGCTGGTCACGGATTTCTCCTGACCACCCTAAGAGGTTTCAGCAGTGGCAAACTCAGGCTGGAAGGACATGATGGTCCTGCCCTCTCTAGTGAAAAGCCAAGCCAGTTGCATGTGTTTTTCAGAGGGGGCTAGGTCTGAAAGTTACTGGCCTTAAGTCCAACAGATTGCGTGACACCCATTGCTAATATTTCCAGTACAGAGCTCAGTGGTTTGTTTGCACTCTCCATCTGCCAACATGGTCAGAGATATGCTGCAGCTTGTGTGGTTTACCATACCTAGGATGTGCAGACATAAGGGTCTCTGGAGCAAGGAGGGGTGCACTTCAGAGCACACAGATGTATAGATGTACTGTACTTCCAATCAGAATGCCAACAGTACCCTTCACAGAACTAGAAAAGAAATCATAAAATTTATATGGAACCAGAAGAGACCCAGAATAGCAAAGGTACTCCTTCTTGGGCAATAAGGCCAAAGCAAGAGGCATCCGGATTTCAAGTTATATTACAGAGTTAGTGATAAAAAACAGCATTGTACTGGCCCAGACATAGACATGTGGATGAGTGCAACAGAACAGTGGGTACAGAAACAACACCAGGCACATTTAGCCATCTAATCTTTGACAAAGGGGCCAAAAACATATGCTGGAGAAAGATAGCCTCTTTAACAAATAGTGCTGAGAAAAGTGGATATTCATATGCAAAAACAAAAACAATAAAAGAATCTAGGTCAGTATATCTCACTGTATACTACAAATAAAAGTGAATCAAACACCTAGATAAATAGTCTGCTGGAACATAGAACAGGCAGAATGCTTGAAGACATAGGATAGGAAGGATATTCTGAACAGAATGTCAATAGCACAAGAAATAACACCACAAATCAAATGTGGTTAAATCAAATTAAAGAGCTTCTGCACAACAGAGGAAACAACCAACAGAGTTTAGAGCCGACCTACAGAATGGGAAAAACCTTTTCCGCTACTCCTCAAACAGGAGTAATATGTAGAATATATAAAGAAGTAAAAAAAAAAAGTAGAGCCCCTGGAAAGACTCAATTAAAAAATAGGTAATTGAAATAAATAGCTACTTCTTAGAAAAAGAAATGCAAATGCCCAATAAATATATGTAAATAATGTTCTGGATTTTTGGTAATTAAAGAAATGCAAGTTAAAACAACAGTGATACTCATCTCACTCCAGTAAAAGAAGCTGTTGTCAAGAGGTCAACTGCTAGTGAGGTTGTCGATGAAAAAGAACTTTATGTTGTTGGTGGGAGTGTAAACTAGTGGAACCTCTATGGAAATCTTCAAAAAACTAAAAGTAGAAATTCCAGTTGACCCAGCTATTGCCCTTCTGGGTAGCTTTTCAAAAGAGTTAAAGACATCATATTCCTGTGATATATGTATTGTATATCCACCCATGTTTATAGCAGCACAATGCACAATAAGCAAATCTTGGAAACAACCTATATAAATGATGTCTGCTGTTAAAATTTGAGTCTTTGTAGGAAAATAGGTGCACCTTGAGACCATACTTGCCTTGATTTATATCTAGATGTCC